GTTTTTTTGAGCCCTGGTCCAAAACCAACAGGAAGAGTTGGCCATTTTGGGTCAAAGGGTCATTTTGGGGCGTTTCTAATTGCAAATTTTAACGAACTCCTAGGAATTTTGAAGGATTGCCTTCAAACTTGGTTGATATGCCCTTAAGACATTGGAGAGTAAAAGTTATCTAAAGCTTGCGTTTTTGTATATGTAAAAGGGGCGTGGCCAGGCTTCAAAGTTGCGCTTCACGCCATAAATTTCCAAACACTATAACTTTCATATTGAAAGACCGAAATGCACAAAACTTGGCAAGACTCATCCCTGTTGGATGCCCGATGATCCACTGTGTCATATTTTGATGTCAACAAAGCCCCGCCCCCTTGAAACAGGAAGTCTCTTTTTTAACTTGAAATGCTCCCTCTTTGAAACCATTGACCTAATCAGGATGATCCTGTGTTAGAAGACAGATAATATGGTCTGACTTGATTTAAAGAGCAAACTGTTTTTGCTTGAGGATGTGGGCGTGGAGAATGAAGAAGTGACGCGGTTGCAATACGTTTGGCTCTAAATTGCACAGATTTCAGCCGAGGTGCACCAAAATCACTAGGATAGATCATTATCCGCCCCGTGAACAAGTATCCATGATAAGTGGCCAATAGCCTCCACAGCGCCACCTACATTATTCTTACAGTTATAGCTCAGTGATACAACATCATTATTCAAACTGTTATATCTCAATGATATATTATCCGATCTGCACCAGATTTTTTTGTGCTTGATCAGTGAGCACTTCTATAAACATTTGTATTGTTAGTTAACATTTGACTCGAGTGCACCCCCTAGATTATTCCAACAGTTATATCTCAGTGAAATATCATCCAATATGTAACAGATTTTATGTGTGTGATCAGTGAGCACTTATAGACACATTGATATTGTTCTTTAACTTTTGACTCCAGTGCGCCCCTAGATTATTCTAACAGTTATATCTCAATGAAATATCATCCAATCTGAACCAGAATTTTTATGCCTAATCAGTGACCATGTCTAGACACATTGGTATTGTTGATTCATAACATCACTTAAGCCCCACTTACTCAGGGAAAAAACTGTTGATTATTGGATGAAACTTCCAGCTTCACACTGTGTAACATATTAGACAGAAACTTTGTTCGCTAACTGTTGATTATCACACATGACATGTTGAAAAGCATGAAGGAAGTGCTTGTCAAACACTTGCCACAAAAGAGCAAGTCACAATAACTTCTGTCTGGAAGGTCAGATTTCACCTATACTGTAAGACCTGCAGCTGGACAAGTAACGACATGGACGGAAGGCAATGTCAAAGGTTTGGGAAATGTGCCCCATGCTGAATGCGTGCGGGATTGGAACGAGAGCGTTCGCGATGGCGACTGGGTGGACTAGCTGGAGCTTCCGCGGTCGCCGTAAGGCTGGAGCAGTGCTTTGCTGCGAGGGCCTCAAATGTTGCTTGCAGCTTTAATTTAAATTATTTTTATGCATCCATCCATCCATCCAGGTTCTGTTGGCCTAGTCAGAGGGGTTCTTCTGGACCCTCGCCTCGGAGTAGAGTCAGACCTGAGGCTTGGTCAACTTCCGTGTTTTTTTCTTATTCGTCGTGCAGATTTTGTGGAGCTGGATAAATAATTTGGCATAGGGGTGGGCGATATGGCTCAAATATAATATTGTGATATTTCAGTGCATTCTGACAATAACGATAAATTTAGTGATATTAAAAAAACAGAATTCATAGTTATTCATTTGGCAAAATTAACTTAACATGTTGCTTTGCAGTATTATATAGACGGATTATTTGTTTATCAACACGGCGGGTGTCTGCACAGCCCGAGTGCAGAAAGAGCTGGTACCTTTAAACCAACTGGCTTGTTCCGTAGTTATCCGCGTGTATTTTGCAGTTGCAACATTAGCTAGCGATGTTCTCAGTGTACTACAACAGTTTATCGCCAAGTGATAAAATATGTTATGCTGCTAAATTAGCATTAGTTAATGGGATACGTCTTGATGATCCATACGGCTTACATCCAGATGAGTGGATAAATGACAAGAAAAAATTGCCAAAACTTCAGTGGCCCAACATCTATTGTTACCTGATCGTGACACCAAGTTTTTATTCCCGGGAGAGCCTGAAATCCTACAAAACACTGGATGCCTACAGTTATGTAATGGACAATCATGTTCAGGACATTTTAATACATGACTATAACATTGAAAACTTTGTGGCTCTGAAGACTGAGGTGCTTCCAAGTCAAAGACAAGGGAAAAAGACAGAGATGTATAAAGTCTGGGTGATTGTGATCAAGAAAAACAACTGCATCCTGACCGTCAACTGCACGGGTATGTAATTTAGAAAGATATAATGTTATGAATTAATATTAGCTTGCTTTTCTTCATTATATAACCTTGCTGTCATTATTGTACACATTTCACAACTCATTTGCAGCAGTGCATGTGGAATTATTTAGCTTTGTCACCATATTAAATTGCTTTTTGATTTTCTTTCAGCTTGGTGTCGTGCTGCAGTCATGCTGCTGCACTGATGCTCAAAGTGGTCAGGTGTGGAAAGACTGAGCAGGCTTGTACCTCAGGGACAAACCAGTGGCTTCAAAAATCCAGAAGAGAGATGAAGGCAGCTAGATAGAGTGAAATCTGTTTTGAACGGCCAAAGTGAACAGACACAGGCTTACTGCAACCAGCCAGAAGGAAGAGACCGAAGCTCAATGTCAAACATACGATGTATTTTCATCCATCCATTCTCTTCC